GAGAGAATTTTAATATTTATTTTTTAGTTTTCGGTGGACACAACATCTTTGTTTGTATGTGGTGCTGAGGATCGAACCCGAGCCGCACGCATGCCAGGCGAGCGCACTACCACTTGAGCCACATCCCCAGCCCTCCTTTCTTGGTTTTTAACTGCTCATCTATAAAGTCTTCAACAGGCTCTTGCAATCTCATCAAATTTAGTGGCTCAGGCCCAAAAGAGAGATCTCCCCACAATAGAGCATTACATCAGAGCAAACCTCTGAGATTCACACACACACTGCCACATTCATTCAGGAGATACTTCTCTGTCCCAGGCACCAGGATACACACAGAAACCAAACAGTCCAGAGGAGAGTATAATTAACCAGCCAAATGACAACACTGAAAGTATGTGTTCCAATGAAGTGAGCACAGGGTTGAGGAGGGTGGTGAGCAGAGCACTATATGAACATGGCAGGGAACGCATGAGAGCCCAGTCAGGATGTGCAGGAAACTCAAGATGACAAGGACACATGGAATAGGGACTGTATAGGACCAAGCTGGACAAACAGATGGGAGTAGGGTGGGAGAGGCTGAGAGAAGGAAGTTCAGAGGAGCAGACGTGAGGTATGAGGCCAGGAGTGCAAGGAAATGCACAGCGTACAGATCATAACAGATTCTGTGAGTTATGTCAGGAATACAGACTTCATTCGGAGGGCAAAGGGAAGCCACTTATAGCTTTCAGGCTACAGAGTGACAGATATTCCAGGCAGAGCACTCATAGCTTTGCAGAGAACTAGAAGGCAGGGAGATCAGTTGAGAGCTGCTGAAGTCATCCAGGTCAGACACAAAGGAAAGAAATGGACATGTTAGAGATGGTAAGGAGAAAGAGTCAAGAGAAGCTGATTTGCTAGGAAGTCTTTTGTCCTCATGAGGACAGATGGCAGAGGCAGTCATTGTGGGCCTCACCCCCCTACCCCACAGTTGGCTATCTTGGTATTAAGGAAAGAAAAGAGGTAGCAGCTCAACATCTATTCTCTCCCCTTAAGGAAGATGGTATGACATGGTTCACAATCCTTAAGTACATACAACCCCAACTCCCCGTCACTTCAGCTGCACCCCTGAGTCCTGAGGAACCAACTGGTCTCTTCTGCTTCAAATACCAACCTCCTCATCTCTTTTCAAAGTCCTCTTTAAAAAATACAAAAAGACTCTGAGGAAGGCACATCCTTTTGTTTAAAACAAACTTTTTTGGGTAGTTATAGATGGACAGAATCCCTTTACTTTATTTATTTTTATGTGGTGCTAGAATCGAATCCAGTGTACCTCACACATGCTAGGCAAGTGCTCTGCCAATGAGCTACAGCCCTAGCCCAGGAAGGCATATCTTTTTTTTTTTTTTTTTAATATTTTTTAGTTGTTGATGGACCTTTATTTTATTTGCTTATTTATATGTGTTGCTAGGAATCGAACCCAGTACCTCACACATATGAGGCAAGCACTCTACCACTGAGCTACAACTCCAGCCCCAGGAAGGCGTATCTTGACAGCATTATTTTAACGACTGTCAATTCCTCAGTAAGGTCTAGTTGGCAGTCAACATCAACTGAGAGTCCGGATGGAGGACTGGAGGACGAAGGGTGCAGCAAGATGGAAGGGAAGTATGGCATCTCTCACTGCATTGCTCTCCTCCTGCTCCAGCCCTGCAGAATCCTGCATTCCTCTGGGTTAATACTGTTCCAGTGTCAGAGCAGCAGATACGGAAAATCAAGAATTTTTTACCAAATTAAAATGAAAATGTCAGTTCTATTTAGTGAATAGGAATTAAGATTTAGGTTTAAGATGCAACACAATATAAATATACTTAATGTCACTGAACTGAACACTTCAAAATGGTGGATTTTATGTTATGCATACTTTACCATGATTAAATTTTTAAAAATTCAAGTTTATTTTTCCAGTTCTGGATGGTTTCTAAATAAGCGTGGAGGCTGGGTTGTAGCTCAGTGGTAAAGCACTTGCCTAGTATGTAAAGCACAGGGTTCAACCCTCAATACCACATAAAATTAAGTAAATAAAGTAGAGGCCCATTGACAACTAAAAAAATATTAAAAAAAGAAGAGTTTGGTTTGATTTTCATTCGAGCTGGTATATGTTTACTATTATTTGCAGTCCCCTTTGGACTGGCTCACAGTTTACTAAAATATTTCCTTTTTGGTTAGGGATTCAGCAAATTTGTGTGAATTTGTATGGATTTATATGGATTCTGGATACACAAATCAGTTCAAGTGTCATTAAAAATATGTATGCCTTTGATTGAAAAAGAAATTACAAAATTTCTCTGGCAGCTGATTTCACAATACCAGAATTTAAAATACTACTTGACCAAGCAATTATATTTTTAGGAACACTTACTATAGGATGACACACACACATAAGTATATCCAAAAAGATTTATGAAAAAGTTTTACTGGAGTATGCAGATGTCTGGAAATGACTATAAATATAACTACTTCCCCAAGAGAGGATTGGTTAAACAACATACAGCACATCTGTACAATGTGATATTAGGAATACTATGTGTACTTTTAAAAAATGAGGCAGAATATGCTGATAGTGAAAGGCAATTATAACACATAACAGAAGAGCAAAGAACAGAACAGTATGTAGAGTACAGTTTTATCTACGTAAAATAACAAAGGAAACACCCATTTACGCACTATTTTAACCAACTGTCAATTCCTTGGTAAGGACTAGTTGTCTGAGAGTCTGGATGGAGGACTGGAGGACAATGGAGGGCTATTCTCACAGATGACGGAAGGGCCCACAATAAACCAAACACTCACCTCTCGGGGACAGGGAGCCTGGTTAGGTAAGTATAAACTTTTTTTTAATTAACAGAAATCTTTAAATGAACAAAGGAATACCACCTATGCCCACTCTCACATGTGAAGCAAACTTGAACAAACAGCTAATAAATTGGAAACCGCCCTCCCTCTCCAATTAACCATTACCATCATTTCTAAACCGGGCCACCTTTCTGCCCTGCTGCTGTGGTCACATACCTCTGTAGGTGGTAGATCTTGTGGGTATACTGGCCTTTCTCACCATCCTTCTCATAAGGTTCATTCACCAGGACCTCCACGCCTTCACCACCGCCAGTTTCATTTTTGCTGGCCTCGGCCACAGAATACAGCTGCCCCACTTGATACTAAAGGAACAGAGAGACAGGCATTATTCTCAATAGTTACACATGGTGCAGCTGCTGGTAACTGTCAAAGTAGGCCCTGGGGGACCCTCATCCAGGAGCTTATCCTGGAGTTTCACACCAGGCCTTACCTACATCTACCCAGATCAACTGAGAATGCTGTTCCATGGCCTCTCTTCAGCCATCATATATGTTTAATCTCATCCTTCCCACTTCTCATTATCCATTGGGCTTAAAGAGGCAGAGGAATGTTGTTAATTTTACAACACTGTCCAGAAAACAGATTTTGGAGTCCAAGGTAGCTTACTCTGAACCTGTCTCTGGTATTAAGACTCCAAAATAGGATCTGGGTCAGTTGCTAGAAATTTCCTTTTCCCATTCATTTTAACAGATCCTGAGACATGACTTCTTGTCAAAGAAGGACGCCCAGTGCTCTGAAATGACAACCTTTGCTATAAAACTGGCTCACCTACTTGCTTTATCTCCAGTGTTGAGGCCCTCACCCTGCGAGGAGATCAAAGAATAGTCTTTCAGACAACCAAACCTCCCAAGGCTTTGCAAATTCCATGTGGGGCTGAAGCAAGTATTCCTGCTTCCCTTGCTAGATGGTACAGATTCCTTCCCCAGTCTGTGCTGGCTGGCCGCCTCCTCTGGGTTGGCAGTTACTAGATGGCAAAAGCCTGCTTTTCCTTTATTTGGGTCACATGCTACCCTATAAAGTCACCAGTCAAGATCACTGGCCTCTTCTAACCCCCACAGGACAGCTTGGTGTTTGGGCCAATGACCTGGGCAATGCCCAGACCCAACCCTTCTGCCCATTTCTCTCTGAAGTAAGCTGTCTCAAGGAAAAAATACAGTGAAGAGAGAATGTACAGCAACAGATGATGCAAGAAGTTACACCTATACCAAAGGATTTGTCTTCCCCATCACTGCCAGTGCTAACCAGACACAACGTTTTAGGTAGGATGAGAAAAAGAAAAACAAGTACTTGACTGCCCAATATGTTGTTAGGTGGAGATTAAGGTTTCCCTCATCCTCACTCTCTACTCTCGCTTCCCAAACTCCTAGTATTCATAGGGGTAAAAAACAAGGTTTTGTTTTGTTTTTTTTCTTTGAGATTAAAACTCTCTGTTGTACCTCTGGGCATGTGCCACTGTCACCACTACTGGCAAGAGCAAGATGCAGAGGCGACTTCCAGGGCAGCTTCACTTCACACTTGGAAGCCTGATCTACAACAGCTTCCTAAGCACAACTGGAGCAAAGTCTGGAAGGCAAAACAGCAGACCAGGACAATTCACTGTTCACCACAGAGCTCAAAGAGCCCTAATTTCCAAAGCAAAAACCTAGCACAAAATGCCAAAGAAAGACCCAGGCAAGCGATCAAGGCTCAGTTAATCCCATAAAGAGGAACATTTGGGTGAGAGCCAGTCACCTTGACCCTGTAAATCCTAAGCAACATCAGTGCTGCCTCAATGCCCCCACAGAACTCCAAATTGTTCCTGTGCCTTTCCAGTTCCACTCTGGGTCAGAGTCTGGCTGAGCCAATGTTTCCTAAGAAGGAGCAAGGAACCCTGTTTCAGAGCAGGACACCTAATCACTAACTCGGAATCCTACAGGGCAGGCTGGGGAGAGGGCCTAGAGGAGTGGACGGGATTGCCAGCTAGTGATGTTACTTGGGGAAGGGGACCCCAGGCAGACTAATTGTCTTCAATGGGTTTCTCTTCAGCTGCAGGAATCAGAGGGCAGGCTCTAAGAGGATCAGCCTGTTGGCTGGCATCTTCCCCCTTTAATCTCTCTTGATATTCTGATCCTTTAATCCCATGAGACACGTGAAGGCAGTTTTGTTAATCCAAAGAGGAAAGTAAGACCAGCCTGAATAGGTTATACAGTGAGGGACACTTTTCATGTCAAGAGGGTTCCCTTTGACATAGTTGCTCTGAACACCTGGGAAAGCTGCCAGATTCAGATTGAGTGATGGTAGAGGTTGCTGTCAGACCATTAAATCAGATAAGGAACTCCAAAGAGACCATAGTCCTCAGCCTAGGACAATGCTCCCCTAATCTTGAGATGTGTTCTCTTGTCCCAAAGAACTAAGACACTCCATCACTTTAGCAATCTGGGAGTGGGAGCCCAGGAAGATATCGTGGGTAGGCCAGAAATACTGAAACAGTACAGCTATTGGTTCCACCCACATGGCCCTCTTGTATCAGGTACCACAGGGGGATGCTGTCATAAAATCTGGAAACAAGAAGTAAAGCAGTCCTGCCCAAGGTGTGCTGGCCTAAGTCAGGAACCACTGATGGACATACCCATGTCAAATAGCCAAGGTTTTCTTGCTGTGCTGCAGGAAGTCTAGAAACCCTGGGCAATGTGAGTCCAAAGAGACTGGCTAGCCAGAAGCTAATTCTTCCCCCAAATATTGATTCAGACCATCAGGATGTTTATAAAACATGACCTTCTCTTTTCTTTTTTGTCTTTTCCTCCCAAATCAGAAGCTGCAAGGGCCTCAAGTCATGGCCTCCAATTTAGGAAGTGAATCCACCAGTCACATGATACTGGGCTATTCCCATGGAAACCATGAGTCAGGATGGAGTTATTGACAAATACTCAGAGTCAATCTGCATTTATTTCTTCTTCAACTCCCCATTCAAGCATCTTCTGATCTTCTGGAACTAAGATTCAAGCCATCAAAAGAACAGCTTCAACCCTACCAGGCCATAAGCTGCTTTCTTGTCAGGTGACAAGAAACAGGCCAACCATCACCACACAGAGAAATGAATCTTAACCAGTACATACTTCCCAAGCTTTTGCTTAGAGTTTAGGCTCTGACTTATCTCACCCTGCCCCACCACTTCCTCAAGCCTGCAAAAAGAACACCACAAACTAAAAATTGCCATTGTGGATGCTCTCAACATAAGAGTTCCTCTATCACTCTGCTTTCAGCTCCACCATTAATAATCAGAGTTCTGGGGGCTGGGATTGTGGCTCAGCAGTAGAGCACTCACCTAGCACGGGCGGGACCAGGGTTTGATCCTTGGCACACATAAAAATAAAGGCATTGTGTTGTGTCCATCTATACCTTAAAAATAAATAAATAAATATATATATTTTTTAAATCAGAGTTCTAGAACCTCTAATCTTACTACAGAACAGCAGAGAGATGTTCTTGAAAGTTCCTTGGTCTACAGCACTTCTCAAAGACATTTTCGCCCTTCAGTCCATCAAGAAACTCCCTCTAAAAAGTTTCTGCTAGAGACTTTACTCTAAAGAAATCCCAAGTTCTTGGGAGACAGCTTCCTAAATAAGGGATGGGATGATCCTGTACAGCAGAGGAAGTCACTGGATCCCTCCTAAATTTCAGAGCAAAGGACATGCTAGGCCTTCCTGCTTAGCCTTTCAGTATGGAAAATTTATCACTTGGTAGTTTTAATAAAGATAACAAGGCCCTAAAAGGAGTTAGATTAACCCCCCTTCCCAAAGTCAACCCCTGTCAGCTTAGTACCTGGTTCCCAGTCCGCCATTTCTCTTTCTTTCTCCCTCTCTCCCTCCGCACACCCCCATTCCTCCTCCCTCACTCCCTCTTTTTTTCTTTTTTCTTTGGGGGTAGGGTCTCGCCATGTTGCTCAGGCTAGCCCTGAACTTTGAGGCTCAAGTGATCTTCCTGCCTCAGCATCCTAAATAGTTGGAACTACAGGTACGCACCATCACACCTAGCTTGATCCCAGCTTAGTCTCATTTCTCAGACTTCTCAGAGCCCCCAGCTCGTGTTCAAGCTTGCCTCTGTCCCCATCTCCCCGGTTTCCACAGTTCTTATAAGACATGCAAGTCCACCACTACAAGACAATCCTCTAGGAGGCCAATGCCTGCTCACCCCTCTTATAGGGTCAATTAGCTCTGAGTATCTGTCTCATCTAAAGTGCTGCAGGCCCTGCTGGCCTAACTTCAAAAATCCAGTTCCTACTTGGAAAAGAGTGGAAGTTATCACAGGAGCTCCCACTGGCACTACAGCCCATCGACTGAGGGCAACATATTGGCTGACAAACTTCACCCAAACTCAAGTTTCACTGGAAGCCAGGGTGGGGCCTATGGATTCAGAGGAAGCAAAGAACAAGGCTGAGCCAAGAGAAAAGAATGGAGGAAATTCACAGAAAGGGTGGATCAAGGGAGGCTCTGTGACAGCTTTCTGCTATCTAAGAGAGGAGCTCTGAGTCAGCATGGCCTATGAACCTTCTTGTGGCAATGCTGCTACCAGATCTGCACACACCGGGACATCAGACCCAAGAACTATAAAAGGACAGAGGGCAAGTCAAGCCCATGTCACTCTCTGCCCGCCGTAAAAGGAGGATTCTGTCTTGATCTTTCTAGCAGTCACCTTGCATGGCAAGGGAGGGCCTCAGAGATTTCCTGCTCTGCTGGTTTGTTGCATAACAGAGAGAGCCATGCACACTTTCCAGTCGAGTCATGGAGGTCCCAGAGATGTATACACCTAACCCAATCATAATGTCCCAGACAGGCACAGTCCCAGCGGGTAAAAAGGGCTGGTATTCAAAGTCATCCAGCATGCCAACAGCTTGGGGCAGGTTGTACAAAGTTGCCCAGCTGCTCCAACCAAGTGTTTTCCTTCAACTGAAAGCAGCACCAGGAAAATTCACATTGAACCCTGGTTATTTCTATGTTAGAACAAATATGCAAACTACATAAAGAGTATGACCACTCCTAGGTCAACTGAGTCAACAGTCACAAAAACTTATGCACAACTATATGCAAGAAAGAAAAAGGACTTACCTCATCTACAGACACAGGCAGGATGACTCGACTACAAGAGAAGGAAAAAGAATGTCAACTTCAGGCTCTGAAACCTTCCACAGGCTCTTAAAGCATCATGTTAGAACAGTATTCAACATTTTGTTGCATGACACTGTATTCACTGACAAAAATCCAGTAGGAAATAGGACCCTCTGTGTCTCTCTGACATTCCATTTAGAACCCTGTGATTCAATGCAAACCTGAATCCCCACCAGCTACTTCCTAGGCCTCTGACTCACATTTAAAGCTGTCTTCTTCTCCTCCTCCCTCACCCATCCTATCTCCCCTGAGTCTAGTAAAACAGAGATGTTAACACAAAAGGACCCAATATGATTAAGATTCAGACCCAAAGAATCAGGTTCTGGGGGTCTGCATCTCTGTGGACCCAACAACAGCCTTTAAGGTAAAGGATGGGAAAGGGCCAAGTTCCTTGGAGATTCAATCACCCTAAGAGTATATATACTAACCACCTCTGCTCTGGAACAGATACTACAATACAAAATATCACCATGAAACCACCAAAGAGGATGCCCACCCTGACCTCCAGAAGCTGTCCAAATATACCCCATTGATCACTTTCTTCTTCTCCATTTCAATGACTACCAACTGTTGGAAGTATAAGCAATAACCAAATGGAGAAGCCATGGCCAGCAAGGCCCCATGAGGGACAAAACTCCACAGAGGTGAAAAGACCAGTGACACTTCTCTGGGTGGCTTGCATTTGTAATGCAAATCAATGGCCAATCACCGGTTCAGTGCTACAAGTTAATAGAGTTAAGAGAAAAAGCCTTGGATGTGTCCTCTAAGTCAAGTTAGTTTTGAAGCTTAGATTTTCAGTCCTTAGAGCCTTGCTGGAACCCGCTGGGCCCTTCTGCTTCTTATATGCTTGCTTGGTGAAGCATGAGCTGCTGTGTCCTCCTTCCTATGCCGTGGGTTCAAACAAGTTTTCTTGCTCCAGGCTGGTAAATAGCTTACTATTTATTTCCTAGTTGCAAAAAGGTCCCCCAGGAAGCAAGAAGCACAGAGGTGTCAGAGGAAGAAGCACACAGAGGGGTCGGAGGAAATCATCACAATAAAGGCCAAGCAGAAAAGTAACAAGAAAAACACAATGGGCTCCAAGTCTTTGCTGCCTTCCTCCAGACCTATTCAAATAACATAAATCCTCCAGTTTACTGGATGCTACCACTAATGCACTCCTCCCGTTCAAGAAAGCCGATGGTGCAGAAAAATACCCCCAAGTTGGAGGCCAGAATTTCTGCACCCTCGGAAGAAACTTCCTAGAAAATAATGCATCTTTTATCTTCAAGAACACAGCAAAAATCACGTCCAAGAATTTGCAGAAATAAAATCATGGAGAATCCTGTTAGAGGAAGTGTCAAAAAAATCAACAGGGACAACATTCAGACCCAAGCCTCCCCACAAAAGACACTGGTATCAGCCAATTCCTAAAAGATGCTCTGAGGCTGCTTTCATTACAACTGCACTCCAGACATTTCTCCTGTGCTCCTTAGGAACAAAACCACTTTAGCAGCAATAGGGTACAACTCTAAAAAGACAGGGCCACAGAGGCACAGCTGGCTGAGACTGGAGATATGCTCACTATAGTGTGACCTTCACTCGCACTGTTCCCGGAGCTGCAGCGCTGCAGACATAGCCAAATATCTCTGATGGCCCCCTCCTTCCCTGTCCCCTGCCCAGGGAAGCATACCCAGGGCACAAGTCAAGCAGGAAGGAAACGCAGGCAGCTCTGCATCCTGGCACCTTGGGCCTTTCCCTTGCAGGCATCAAGAAGAGGAGAACAAAGAATGGGCAAAGAGTGCCTCCCTTCAAAACTCATTCAGATCTCTTCTAAAAGACCTTTCTTTCCCCTGCCTGACCTTCTTTTCAAAACTACAGATTTCTACAGATTCTAGGAATAGGAAGGAGGATCAGAAAAATGGGAAAAGCCTGTTCATTTAGACACACATTAAAATACACCATATTCTCTTTCTTGGAGAAACTTGACATCCAACCACATAAACCTCTGAGTTTCTGGCTGCATAACATCAGATGGGATGTCAAGAAATTGAGGTGACAGGACCTCCAAATAATGATCTTCACATAAGGTGTCAAACCAGGATGACACCTGGATCTCTTCTTTCTTTGTTATCCAAACTCCACACTACATCCTAAACACTTCCAAGAAGCAAGCCAGGAGGAGACGGACAAAGTGCCTTCACTTCAAAGTGGGAAGCCCTCCATACACCTGCTTGGCTCACAAGAGTTTTACGGGTTTCATTCTACTGGGACATCTCCCACTTCTGAATTTCTGGGGCTTTTAGCCCAATGTTGCCCACTTGCCCTCCTTCCAGGGAAGCACAGTTTCACTGAAATTTCTACACACATACACACATCTAATCTCCCATTTGGGGAAAGGGTGTCCTGTGATGTTTACTTGGAACCATGAACTTCAGGGATGGATCACCTTGTATTTGAAAGATTAAACAATCCAGACATCCCCACCTCCAATCTCCTGCAACACCTGCCAAAAGTCACCAATTTCTCATCCCAATGCATTACTTAAAAATTCTTTCACCCTTCCATGTCACTCCTCATTTAATGGCTTTATGGAAACAGCCTTGATAGCTCAAAGAAATTTCCCATCCCTTAGCACCAAGACTGAGAATCTCCTAGAGAAAGACTTCCCCTGCTCTGGACCCTACCACCTCCAACTCACAAACATACTCTCTGGGCTATCTATGCTTATAACTTTCTGGCCATCTTCCATCACCATAACTCCCTCATATTACTTTGGATACTGCCCAATATATTCTGAACTCCTCACTCAAGTGTTCCCAAGTTCAACACAGGCATCTCAAGCTTTTCCCAGTGTCTCCTCTTCTGCATTTACCACTTGAGCACTGTGTCATTCTGGCCTCCAGATCTCAGCCCCCCTCTGTTCTGTTCTATCTTCCTTCCCCTGTCACCCAAGCCTGGCCCTGATCCCCTAGACCTCTGGGTCCATTTATTACAATCTTTCCCCTAGTGTCAAGGTGGCCACTCTAAATACTCCAGGTTCCATCTCAGCACTCCTCTTCATCATTTCAATTCCCTTCCAAGAGCTGTCATATCTGATCTTCCCTGCCCCTTACTGCTCAGCCCTCCCCACCACGGGCTAGCTCACCAGCTCTGCCTGCCCTTGTCCCACTGTTCCTTGGTCCCTGAGACAACTCTTCCATCTCCTGCAGGTCCCCTCAGCCCCTTCCACAGTTCCGGCTGGTTCCTTCAACACTTCAGCCCCTGCTGTAGGACCACCCCAGGTCTCACCCAGTGATCTGGATTCCCTCGACCTCTCCTCATGCCCTGCCAGGTTCTCACTGTCCCTTTGACCCCACTTCAGGCCCTGTCCGGCCCTCACTGTCCCCTTGGCCTCTCCTCAGGCCTATTCAGTCCTCACTGTCCCTTGGGCCCCACCTCAGGTACTGTCCAGCTCTCTTTAGCCTCTGTGGCCCCACCTCAGGCCCCGTCCGACCCTTAAGGTCCCCTGCGCCCCTGCTGGGCCGACCAACTGCCCATTCTGAGCTCTCCATCCTCTCCACCGGGCCGTCAGCCCCCGTGGTCGTCATCTCCGACCCTCCCTTCCTCCTTGCTTCCGCACCGCGGGCCGGTCACTCACTACTCCTTGAGCAGCACCATGTCGCTCCGCGGCTCGGCGGCTGTCCGCTGCCCGCCCGGCTTCCCGCCCGCTTCCCGGCGGCCGCTCTGCCCGTGGCGGCCCGGCCCGGCTGCCTGTGCGCTTTCGTCGTGGTCCGCTGGGTCCCCACCGCTCTTGCTGAGGCCGCGGCGCCGGCTCCTGCAGCCCTGGCCTCGC